TATATATTTATATTTATGTGTATGTAAAGGTTAAAAAATCTGATTTTTGAAATGTGAAAGTTGTTTTGTTATTTTTGAAATAGGGTAAAGATAAAATAGGAGAAATGAATTTTTCCTATACAAGCTGGCTCACCTCGTCCCACCAAGTTGAGAGTTAGTGGAGCGAGCCAATTCCACATTTGATAAAGTGAGTAAATGGACTAGTTGAGTGGCTCAACTCACCGCGGCCTATTTAATATGCCTACATTATCCTTGTTAGCCACGTATACTCATGTTCCCATTCATTATTTTGCCCATTATTCCAATTGTATTTGTTGCAGAGTCGGGAGTTGAGATCTGCTGTCTATTTTTATCGTTTAATTTACTGTCAATCCAATTGTAAATTGACACATCATGAAAAATTAAAGTTGTCTTCATTTTAATTTTATAACTTTAACATCAATTTTAATTTTTTATAATGTATCAATTTGTAATTGAATGGACAATCAAGTATGCGGTATAAGTGGATAGCACGGAAAAGGTCCAATGATACAAAGTCCAGAACCCTACTCAAAAACAAGAGGAAAGATGTCAAATTGATATGCCGAAAATGTATAAGTGTACGGATCGTTCAAGTAATAAAATGGGTTTTGAAGTCCAAGTATCGTCCCACAGAGATTGAGTTAGTTCAAATTCTAATTACATCGACCTTAACCGAACTAAGTAGATTCAATGAAGTGATTTAAATGTGAAATTATCTAAATTGAACGAGGAATGTAAATTTAACTGAAAGTAGACAAACCAAATGAAAATTACAAATTTAATGCAAATGCTTGAATGAATCCATGTATGAAAAGCGTACTAGGATTCCGCCAAGTAAGTTTACTTTTAACCTTTGTATCACAACTTGATAGCACTTTGGTTTAATTGAAGAATCAATATTTCTAAAATATTTAACACTCTCTCGAGTGGAGTTAAACCTATTCTCGCATACCATTTGACTATATTTCTATAACAAATGTCAATATACAAGAATGCACAACGTTTTATGAACACTTAAAGATTCACGTAAAGCATATGGGTATATTTCTATCCCCTATCGAACCCTACAATGATTTATACCTTGTAGAATCTATTTCTCTTTTTTCGAATGCATGAGATAGACCACTCAAACTCACATAATCACATACATTTAATTATGGAGACGATAAAGTGCATATAAACCATTCAACATTCATCATTCGTGTTTAAAATCAAATTGCAAAACAAAGAATTAAAAATTCACATTACGAGTTTCATCGTTCACCTAGTACAATAAAAACCTAGCCTAGCATGGATAAAATAAAATAGCAAATACAATAATGAGGAGAAGACACCACCCAATTCTTCAATGTAAAACTCCAAATCTTGTATTTTCGAATGCAATTCCTCCTCCTAGCTGTTGTTCTCCCTCTCCAAGCTTCTGGACGTTATTCCGATTATATAGGAGTCCAAAATTCCGTTTCCAAAAGAGTTCGAGTCAAATTAGGAAACCTAAATTTTCGCTAAATATTTCTTCTATTCGACCGCATAGAACACCCAGATTCCACACTGGAATTCCCTGCAAGGCTCTATGCGACCGCATAGCCTTGAAAGCTATGCGACCGCATAGAGATAGGATTTTCTGATCTTTTGCGGTTTGGTCCTTATACTTTGTTCCCTCCAGTTCTCGACCTTTTTCCAAATTTCCTTGTCCCAATGTAAAGGGTACATGCTCAATTTGATCGTGTCCTCTTCAATTCTTCACTTTCTCTTCCGGTTCATCTTTTGAATATTTGCAACTCAGTCTCCAAACTTTGATATTTTTCATTTTGGCCCATTTTCTCCATTTATCTTTCACTTTGCACCACATTCACCACTATTGACATGCAAACACAATTTATAACGAAGTAAGCTATGTCTCACACATCAACCGACAGATATTCATGCTTATGAAACAATATAGACGTGCAAAATGCACTCTCATCACAAATCTTATTTGTATCGAGCCATTTTTCGTGTTCATACTTTTGCCATATCAACTTTCTTGAATATTTAACTATTTTACACTCAGTAATGTCTATCTTCTGGTATATCCCTCTCTCTCTACACCCAATTATTTGATCGAATTTTTATTACATGATTGAGTTGATATCTTTTAAAATTTATTTTCAATCACACATTTTTCAATAAAATAATATTTTCCATCACATCAATAATTTTTCCTTACTTTTTAACCACATATTTCCTATTGTATCACTATTTGAAATACTTTTTTTCTCTCAATAATATCCATCAAACTCCCCTTAAGTCTTAATTCTTTAAGGCCATCTAAACTTTCCAGATCGTCTTGGCTGCATATAAGTGGGATGCATGTGGTGTGTTTTTTCTTTTTCTTTTTCCTATTACATTATTGGGATTCCGTTCTTCTACAGCAAATTTACTGTTTGATTACTGGTATTTTTTGAATAATTGTTGTTTCGATGGGAGGATCTGTTTTTACTTCTTAGTCATGGTTCTATTGGTTTTGCAGCTTTAAGTTGGAGTAGTGATCCCATCTATTAAGTCTTGTTTCCAATAAATCTAGGGTAGACTACATGATCCCTTCAGAGATTCTTCGTTGAATAATGGTCCAGCAAAAAAATAAATCCAGGTAGTTGCTTAAGTAGTGATACATTACAAACATGTTCAAGTTTGATAGAAGTTTAGCATTTGTTTAAAACTATGCTTAACTATAATTTTAATTATTAAGAATGAGATATTTTAAGTGTGTGGTATTATGTATTGATCTGCTGTTGATGCAGGTGAACCAATATCAAGAAGAGAATTAATTACTAAAAAATTTCAATGAATAATACTTGAGTTGCGGCTTGCTTCTTACAAAGAATGTATGCTTATGAACATCAGATGGAGCGGGAGAACTCCGCTCAAAGTCTTTCGAGTACAAGAGTTTCTGGTAATTCTGCTCTTGATATTGAAAATAAGTTATCGATGAGTAAAATTAATGATCACTTGTTTTGTTCATGAATATGAAAAAGATGAATTTTACAGATATTTTGCCTAACAAGGACAATTCTTTCAATAAAAACTTCTAGGGATTTGCTTAGATCATCTATTGATTCATCTAAATCACTTGTTGTAGAAATGGGAAGTCATTTTACAATGGAGAGACGAATTTACATGTCATCTTTCGCTGCTACGATCTTTATCTCTGGGCTAGTTACAATCGGGGTATCATTGATGGCATTGCTGATTGCATTAGCAGTAATGTTGCAATCTTGTGAAAATAGGAATTCAGGAGCTTTAAACATTGAAACATACGATTATTACAAAATTTACGCTCTGCATGCAGAGTTGAACAGTTTAGATGTAGATTTTTTCCCTGCAATTTGCAAGGATGTAGCCATACAATACATTAATGAAGGTCAATATATGAGAGATTTAAATATCATACTTGGCATTGTGGAGGATTTCTTCGGCTGTGTAAGGCCACTGAATGATAGTAAAGACATTGTGCTGATGGATGCAGACGACTTCTTTACTTCAGAAAATTTGCATTCTCGTCTTTTGATGCGCTGGTAATTTCCTGCATAATTTGTGTTAATGTATATACATATATACAAAATACACATGTTAGTTAGTCCCACATTGATTAGAAAGTAAAACATTCCTAGCAAGTTAAACTATAAATAGAATGTCTCTCTTGTAAACAAATTATACCATTCAATACAATTCTATTCTCTTTGTATTGTCTTATTTTCTCTCTTATTTTCTCT